TGGGGATTTAGCTCAGCGGCGTAAGCGCCTGCCTTGCAAGCAGGTAGTCATGAGTTCGAACCCCGGTACCGATAAAAAAAGAGAAAGACAAAAAAAAAAAAAAAAAAAAAAGGAGAAACACAAAGAGTTGGTTCTTTGAAAGAATAAGTAAAATTGATAAGCCCCTAGTCAACCTTATTTAAAAAAGAGAAGAAAAAGCTCAAATTCATGCAATAAGAAATGAAAGAGAAGAAATCACTACAGATCCTATAGAAATACAGAAAAGCATCAAAATCTATTTCGAAAACCTCTACTCTCAAAGGTTTGATAACACAGACGAAATGGACAGATTCCTAGAAGCATACGAAATACCAAAGCTAGGTCATGAAGATTTAAAACTACTGAATAACCCAATTTCTATTAATGAAATCGAAAAGGTAATTAAATCCTTACCTACAAAGAAGAGTCCAAGCCCAGACGGATTCACTGCAGAATTCTACAAGAAATACAAAGAAGACCTAATGCCAACACTCCTCAAACTCTTCAATGAAATAGAAAGGGAAGCAATCCTTCCTAAGTCATTCCTGGAAGCAAATATTACTCTAGTACCAAAACCTGAGAAAGACCCAACTAAAAAAGCGAACTATAGACCAATCTCCCTAATGAACACAGATACAAAAATCCTCAATAAAATATTGGCAAATAGGATGCAGCAAATCATCAAGAAGATCATACACCATGACCAAGTGGGATTCATCCCAGGCATGTAGGGATGGTTCAATATACATAAATGAATAAATGTAATACACCATATCAATAGAGCCAAAAGTAAGAACCACATGATAATTTCTATAGATGCAGAAAAAGCTGTTGATAAGGTCCAATATTCATTCATGATAAGAACCCTGCAGAAAACTGGAGTAGATGGTCTTTACCTCAATATAATAAAGGCCATCTATGACAAACCAACAGCCAATATCATACTAAATGGCCAAAAATTGAAGGCTTTTACTTTAAAATCAGGCACAAGACAAGGATGTCCCTTATCACCGCTCTTATTTAATATAGTACTGGAAATACTAGCCAGAGCAATTAGACAGAGAGAAATAAGAGGCATAAAGATAGGAAAAGAAGAAATTAAGCTATCATTATTTGCAGATGACATGATACTCTATATAGAAGATCCCCAAAACTCCATTGAAAGACTGCTAGATATAATAAATAAATTTAGTAATGTAGCTGGCTACAAAATCAATACTCAAAAATCAATAGCATTCCTATACACTAACAACAAAGTCACAGAAAGAGAAATAAGAGAAGCCACACCCTTCACACTAGGAACCAAAAAAATGAAATATCTAGGAATTACTCTCACAAAAGTGAAAGACCTGTACAGGGAAAATTATACTACACTGAAAAATGAAATTGAAGATGATCTCAGAAAATGGAAAAACATCCCTTGCTCATGGATAGGGAGAATAAATATTGTGAAAATGGCCATTCTCCCAAAACTTTTATATAGATGCAATGCAATCCCAATAAAAATACCATCAACATACCTCATAGATCCAGAGAAATCACTTCTAAAATTCATCTGGAGTGAGAAGAGACCTAGAATAGCAAGGACAGTTCTAAGCAGCAAAGGCAAGGCAGGAGGTATCACAATCCCTGACGTGAAACTATACTAAAAAGCAACCGTAATAAAATCAACAAGGTACTGGAACCAAAAGAGAGCTGAAGATCAGTGGAACAGATTAGAAGATACAACCACAACTGCAAACACACTCAATCACCTTATCTTCGCTAAAGGGGCCAAACAGGTTCACTGGGAGTACGACAGTCTCTTTAAATGGTGCTGGAAAAACTGGCTCTCCATATGTCGAAAACTAAAACTAGACCCATGCCTATCACCATGTATTATTAAAATAAAATCTAAATGGATCAAAGATCTAAATATTAAAACAGAAACACTAAATCTATTGGAAGACAAATTGGGTAAAAACCATGAAGATATAGGAGTAGGAAGAGAATTCATGAACAGGACTCAAACCGCATGGGAAATACTTCCCAAAATCAATAACTGGGATCACCTCTTATTAAAAAGTTTCTGCATGTCAAAAGAAGTCTCCAGTGTGATGAGAAGAAAACCCACAAACTGGGAAAAAATCTTAGTGAACTCCCCTCAGACAAAGGACTTCTGCCTAAAACATATAAAGAATTAAAAAAAAAAAATCAGACCCCCAAAATTCAAAGACCAAATCCAAAAATGGGCATCTGAGATGAATAAATAATTCTCAGATGAAGAAATACAAACGGCAAATAAATATATGAAAAAATGTTCATCACTATTGGTCATTAGAGAAATGCAAATCAAAACCACACTGAGATTTCATCTCGCTCCTGAAAGAATGGCCAAGATCAAGAAACCAACAACAACAAATGCTGGAGAGGCTGCGGGGAAAAAGGAACTCTCCTGCACTATTGGTGGGAGTGTAGACCAGTGCAAGCATTGTGGAGGTCAGTCTGGAGATTTCTCAGAAAACTAGGACTGGAAGCCCCATATGACCCAGCTATACCACTTCTAGGCAGTTCTTCTTCCCAGAAGAACTGAAAGCATCATACTACAGTGATATATGTGCACCCATGTTTATAGCAGCACAATTTGTAATAGCCAGATCTTGGAAACAACCTAAGTGTCCATCGACTGAAGAATGGATAAAAAAGTTGTGGTATTTTTATACAATGGAGTACTATTCAGCTATAAAGAATGACCGCATTGAGACATTTATAAATAAATGGATGCAGCTTGAGACCATACTCATAAGTGAAATAAATCAAACTCACATGTATAAATACCAGATAGTTTCCCTAGTGTAAGAAATGATAAGAATACACAGAAGTATGTGGTAATCATGATTCCCAATCATATTGGTTTGAAGCCTTATAATGTTTTCACTCATTAACCGCAATGGTTTTAACCTGGGTTGTTTGATTTTAGTATCTATGATAGCACGAATAGCTATTTTGAAAAAAGCAACACAACATAAAAGCTAGTGCTGATTTAATATTGTCTTGTTTTGAAGTCCCATCAAGCTGTAGTACATCTGTTTCCACTGGTTTTAACATGTTGTATCTTACTATATTTTACTATATGCTATAGTATAAACAAAATTCTTTAGAGGCAAAGAAATAATATAGAAACCATTGTTTCTTTTCTATTAGCAGGTTCTAAATACCCTGTAATTCTCGCATTCTCTTGAAAGGCTTCACACTGTCTAGATACGCTTGATATTATAGCACGCAAAGTTACACTCAAATAATTTAAGGAAAGAGGCACTATGGTAACTACTATTATGTTAGATTATCTGGCGGTGAAACACAATGATGCTTGAATGGCTCGGTTCTGCCCTGCATTGTTCTATTACAATGTCCTCTCTTATCTCAATCTTCCCCCTATTTTTAAATTAATCTATTTTCTCTCATTTTTTTAATTAAGGGAAAACTAAATTAAAGAATAATGGGACATATTATAGTAACTTTTTAGTTGTCCTATTAACCTACTTGAACCCCAGTATTGCTCTCCCCCATCTTGTTCTGTCTGATTATTATATATTCTATTTTGTTTGATAGTATCAAGTTTGAGGGTATAGCCAATCACTTTGAAGGCAATAAGATATACTATGATGCCCAGTATGGATTGACTATCATCCTTTTTTTTTTTTTTTTTGAAGTCCTGTAAGGTCCTCAGTGTAGATTTTGTTGGTTTTGTTCCGTATTGTTTTGATCAATTCTATTATACCTGATGATATAGACAACTCAATTTAAAAATAGCAAGAGGCACAATGGTAACCACTTTTGATCACCTGGTATTCTATTTTTGCATCATGTGCTATGCCCACCCTTCTGTTCTAACTGACTCGGTTTTGCTTAATCACATTTGTTTTTATTCTCTGCAAAAAAGTAACAAGAACCATGAGAGTAATAAAACCCTAAAAGTCTAATGGTTACTGTAAAAAAGAGAAGAAAGTAAGGTGGACTAAGGGATATAATCGCAGGTATGTTTGAGAGTGTAGGATGGAAAATCATATAACTGAGCTTTTGTTGGATCATTGAACGGAACTGTCTGCAATTTCACTGTATGAATGTTCACTTTATATGCTTTAATTTAGTGATATGGACAACTGTTTCTGGGAAGATAATGTGTAGCCTGTTAACTGGTGATTTCGTACTGTATATATTTTTTTCTAGAAATACTGTATTATTTGTACCCTTTTACTGCATTGTTTTTTTATGTCCTTTCTTTTTTTTTTTTTTTTTTGCTTCTCTCTTTAAATTAAAAAAAAAAAAAAAAAAAAAAGGATGTCCACTATCACCTCCTCTAGTCAACACAGTACTTGAAACACTGGCCAGAGAAATTAGGCAAGAGAAAAGAATAAAAGGGTTACAGTAGGAAAAGTAGAACTCAAATTATCATATTTTGCAGATGACATGATCCTCTATATAAAAGACTCAAAGAGTGTGACTCAAACACTCTAACTTTAATCGTGAACTTCAGCAATGCAGCAGGATATAAGATCAACACACAAAAATCATTAGCATTGGCATACACCAACAATGAATGGAATAAGAAAATTATGAAAATAATACCATTCAGAGTAGATTCAAGAAAAATGAAATACCTAGGAATTAATCTAACCAAGGAATTAACCTAAGCAAAGAGGTTTTCAGTGTTTTCTTTTCTATAAAGAAAACTGTAGTACTGTGAAAAAAGATTAAAAAGGATGTCACAAAAAGGAAGGTGTTCCCTGATCCTGAATAGACACAACCAACAATGTCAAAATTATCATACATATTCAATGCAGTCCCAATCAAAATATCAATAGCACACTTTACAAAACTAGAGCAAACAATCCTAAAATTTATAAGGAAGCAAAAGAGACTCAGAATAGCAAAAGCAATTGGACCGTAAGAGTAAAGCAGGAGGCACAGCAATGCATGACTTCAAAGCCACAGTGATTTAAAAAAAAAAAAAAAAAAAAAAAAACCATGGGATAGTACTGGAACAAAGCAGACACATGGATTAATGGAACCAAACTAAGAATACATCCTTCTCTAGATACCTTCAGTTATTTGACCTTCAACAAAGAGACCAAAAGTATGTGTTGGAAAAAAGCCCAAACAACAAATAGCGCTAGGGAAACTGGATATCTGTGTGCAGAAGATTGAAACTGGACACTTATCTCTCACCATATACTAAATTAAAAATCAAAATGCAACACAAACATTAAACCTACTGGATGATAAAATAGATAAAACACTTGGAGACATAGGTGTTAGAAAACATTTTCTAAATAGAACCTCAAGTGCGTAACAAATAACAGCAAAAACCAAAAAATGAAATTACATCAGACTAAAGAGCTTTTGTACAGCGAAAGAATCAATCAGTAGGGGCTGGGGATTTAGCTCAGCGGCATAAGCGCTGGTCTTGCAAGCAGGCAGTCCTGAGTTCGATCCCCAATACTGATAAAAAGGAAAAAGACAAAAAAAAAAAAATCAATCAGTAAAGTGAAAAGAAAGCCTACAGAATAGGGGAAAAATTTTTGCTAACTACTGCTCAGAGAACAAATATCTAGCATATAGAAAGAATTATTTAAAAATTAAATAGATTAAAGATCCAGTCAAGAAATGGGCAAGAGAAATGAACAGATACTTCACAGAGGAAGAAATATAAATGGTCAACAAATGTATGAAAAAATGTTCAATATCTCTGGCCATTAGCGAAGTACAAATAAAAACAGTGCTAAGATTCCATCCTACTCCAGAAAGAATGGCAATCATTAAGAATCAAGCAAAAACAAATGCTGGCAAGGTTGTGATAAAAAAAAAAAAAAGAAAGAAAGAAAGAAAAGAAAAGAAAAGGAATCCTCCTTCATTGTTAGTAGAAATGTAAATTACTACAACCATTATGGAAATTTCCCAAATAACTGAAATTAGAAATTCCACATGACCCAGAAATCTACATATCATCCCCAACTAATGGCCCTTCCTCCTCTAACTCTAGAATAACTAGGACTACAGGCTTACAGCACCATAGCATTACAAGATCATATTTAAACCCTGAAATATCATTTGAAGATAGGGATAACTACTACTTTATGAATAAAAGATCTTATACTCTATGACTGAATGATGGTATGTACCAAGTATTTGTGACCCAACCAAAATTTGTGTATTGAAACCCTAATCAACAATATGATGCTATTTGGAGATAAAATCTTTCAAAGTAATTAAGTCTCTCTTGAGAATAGTCAAATGATGAGATTAGTGGCCTTATAAGAACAGAAACAGCAAGTCTGATTCTCCTCTCTCAGTTCTCTACAATCTAAAGATTCAACAAGACAACAGTTATCTTCAAACCACAATGTGGGACCACAGCAGACCTCAAATACATAGGTTCCCCTGATTTTCCATTTCTCACATTCTAGGATTTTGAGAACTAATGTCTACTTTTTAGGCCACCCAGACTATAGTTGTATCAGTCCCACATGACTAAGACATTTCATAATGATTAAGATCACAAACAATGAAACAGTGAAACTAGCCTTCAAGTAACAAGTATGTCTGACTATAAAATTCATGCTTTTCACCATGTCTTACTGCCTTTCAAACTGTATATATATCATTCTTGCCTAATATATAAACTCTGCCTTGTCTCACAGCTAATTGATCATGATTATTTATCCCTTTCTTTCAATAATCAAGAGCTTCTCCCACCTCACAGAACTTTCAAAGGTCTGGCTTACTGAATGGAGGATTTACTTCTGCCAAAAATAATGGGGAAGTTTATTACGCATCTAGCAGAAGGCTTCTGTGATGGTTGACCAATTGTGTTAACTTGAGTAAGCGAAGTTCAACTAAATTTGCCAACCCTAGGTCAGCTTGTTACCTGAATGGTATGAAGGAGAAATAAAGAAGGATGGATCTGCTTCTGCTCCAGTCACCTTTACCTTGATTGTCACCTTCTGGATTCCAGTGCAGTCTTCAGCTTCTGACACATTCTCTCACTCTCAGCCTTCCCTCACAGATCCACTGCCCTTCTGATGTGAACTTGCATGGAACATTGCAGTGAGCTCTAGACCTCTGACTGGATCCTTAGGATCTCATGTGCAGACAGACCCTGTGCACTCTTGAACATTCAGTTCTATGTATGGTATATAAGCCAATCTTATAAATTCTTATATATCTTGTATTATATCTGTTTTTAGCATCGGTTTTAGATTTGTGTCTCATTCATACTTCTAGTGGTCCTAGTCCTACAAAAGAATGAAAAGAAACTGAAGCTACTGACATTCCGGACTTGACTGGTCAAGTGACTTACACTGCTAATAAAGAATTGCATAAAATATACTCATGTACTACATGGTAACATTTCAGTAAACAATGAACTACATATATAGTAAATGACCCTAGAATTATATTGTTTAGTGAAATTATAGCCATCTAAGTTTGGGAATGTACATTCTATGATACCCAACAATACATTTCTTAGAATGTATCCCATTATTATGTGACACACAATTGTAGTATACCCAGAGACAGAATTTGTTTTTCTTTTTTTTTTAGACAGAGTCTCACTAAGTAGTTTAGGCTGGCCTTGAACTCACTATGTAGCCCAGGCTGACCTCGAACTCGAAGTTATCCTCCAGTCTGAGCCTCCCATGTGCTGAGATTATAACTATGTGCCACCACACCCAGCCAGAGACATTTGCTTATTTAGTGACAAACAGGAAATGTTCCAGTCAAAAGAAAACAATTATATTATACAAAAATAAGTACCAAGAGAAAAAAATCAATAATGCAAAAGAACATTGAAGAATGGAGCAATATCAGTAAGATGGCAGAATAAGAAGTTCCAGATCCTCTGTCCTCCTATGGAGATGCCAATCCTACAAGGAAACACAGACCAGTTCCTTTGTAAGAAATCTAAAAAACAGTTAAAAGACTCCAACACTCTAGGTTAGCAAAAAACCACCATCAGACAAATTCATAGCATCATCTCTCCTCCTCCCCTCACCTAGTTCACAGAAAACTCCTAGTTCCTAAATTCAGTGTGGAGAAGGAAAGATAAGACTAAAATATATATACACAGTGTTCAGACCTTTCAGGAGCTATCCAAGGGGGTGGTTTCTGTCATGTTTCAATCTAAGTACTGTACTCAGTTGGGGGTCACTAAGAACAAAGATGATGGACATAAACTAATACTCGTTCATCACAGTTCTAATACCATTCCTGCAGAGGGAAAAAATTAGGACATTCATCCAATATCCAAGATTGCTAAAGTGCTGCTCAAGGCACTGATGACTATCTCATTTGTTCTGAAGCAGTGAAAGAACTCAACACATCTTAGATACCTACCCTGGGGCTGCTGAGAATAAAAGCTATTGCTACTGCTGCTGCTGGCTGCTGCTGCACAAGCCCTGGAATATATGAAACAGAGGACAATACAAGTTGGCAACCTTACTCTTGGTGGGAAATAGAGTATGCATCCAAGAATTCATCTTTTGGGGACACTGCCTAAGAGTTCAATTGCTCAACTTAGAGCACAAGTAGGTTCCAGCATCCAGAATGTTTAAGGCTACCAAAAACAAAAGCACTTGCAGGAGTGTCAAAGAATCTGCAAATCTACAGAAAGACAGCAGAGGGAGCAAGAGATCACATGTTGCTAAAAGATGAGAGAATCGTTCAAATCAATAATTTACCTACATATCAATCCCCAGAATCAAAGAAACATAAAAAGACAGACAGACAGACAGACAGATTAAAAAAAGAAAGAAAGAGAAAAAAAAAAGAAAATTTACCAATATAAATCCAAAGACACACTCATAGAAGAGGTAAGAAAAGCCCTTGAATCTCCAACTGGGGGTGACTGATGAAGGGTTTTTCCTGCATAAATCTAGCTCATAAAGTCTGAAACACGTAGCTATTTTTTAAAAAAATATGGTCCCAATGGTTCTATAATACACAAAGAAACAGGGAAACAGCAAAACCAAAAGAGCAAAATAAATCTACAGAATCAAATGCAAAGGAAATGGAAGAATACAAAATTATCTGAAAATTAATTAAGTAATTACACTATTGACGTGCAATGAGCTGAAGGATGAATTTCAAAAATAAGAATATCAACGGAGATAGAAGTGGTAAACAACAAAATGAAACACCAAAAAATTTTAAAAATTTTAGAGGTAAAAACTACAGTAACAAAATTGAAAAATTTACTAGAGGGGTTCAACAGTAGACCTGATAAAGCAAAAGAATATGGTCCATAAACTTGAAAACAGGTCATACGAAATTATCCAGTGAGAGGAAGAAAAAAATCTTACAGAATCCTAAAGGAATTTTGGTCTCTACTACCATGTGTACCATTTACTCATTATAAAAGTCACAAAAGAATATAAAGGACTAGAAAGTTTACTTGAAGAAACATGGATCAAAACTTCTCAAGGATCTAAGAAACAAAATGAACATCCAGATTGAAGAAACCCAAAGCACTACATTAGGATAAGTTCAAAGAAGCCCATACAGAAACACATTTTAACCAAACTTCCAGAAGTTAACAACAAAGCCAGAACTTTGGAAGCAACCAGTAAAACGTAGCACAGGTGCAAAGAAACCTTTAAAAGATTGTGCAGATTTCTCAGCAAAAACCTTATATACTAGAAGACAGTAGAAGCAATTATTCCACTAAGAGACAAGAGTTTAGTAACAAAGGATAAGAATGACCTAAAAAGCTGTACAAGATGGCAACAGTTAAGAGTTGGAAATATAGCTCAGCAGCACAGTGCCTGCCTGGTAAATGTGAAGTCCTGAGTGCAATTACCCCCCCCAAAAAAGATGTCGACAGTAAAGAACTTAACCAAAAAAAAAAAAAAAAGAAAGAAAGAAAAAGCTGCCAACCAAATAAAACTCTACCTGGAAAAACTGTCTTCCAGAAAGAAAACAAGTAAGAACTTTTCCAAATGAAAAAAGAGTTCAGCACCACTTGCCCTGCCTTCAGAACCACAAGAAATTCTAATGGGAGTACTTTGAGTTCAAACAAGAATCCAATAAAACCTATATAAAGTTCACTGGTAAAAATAAGTATATACACAAATGCAGAATACTGTAGTATTATATATTTAAGGGGAAATTATGTTAAAATAGCAAACAATCCAACTTCTTGCTCTACAATGAAACTGAATAAAATAAGCTAAAACAAATGTGAATTCAACAGAGTCAATCTACATACAGCAATCTGACAAGAGTCTGTCTAGAAAGAGCAGGAACACACTGAGTTTCCTTTAAAAAGGAACCATTTTTTTAACTAGCAGGCAAAAAGGGATGGAAATATGTCTGATGTCTGATTTCTCTATGTTTGTTTTAAATGTGTAGTTAGTACCAATGTGGTAAGCATTGAGAAGGCAATTAAGCAATGAAGATTTTGGCCTCAGAAATGGGATTAGATGTCCTTATTAATACACTCAATAAAAGAAGTTCATTTCTTTAGCTTTTCCACCTTCTTCTAAACAGAATTCCTTCCCTCTGGAGATTGCAACATCAAGATGCCATCTTGGAGACAGACAGTAGCCATGTCCAGACACGAAACATGTAAGTGTCGTGTTCTTGTATTTCCCAACCTCCAGAAATGTGAGAAAATAAATTTCTGTTCTTTATAAACTATCCAGATTGAGGTTTTCTACCATAACAGCACAAAACTGACTTAAATATACATAATATGGAACAGAATTAGCTTTAGTTGTAAAGCTTGTATACAATGTATTCAATTATTGTTGTATTTTTTAAGCTCCTAGATTTGCAGTGATCCTAAAACAGAATCACACAGTATTACATACATGTGGCAAAAAAAAAACTCTTGAACATATCTAAATATCAATAGTATTTAAAATTAGAACACAAAATCTGTTTCAGTCTGCTTGTTTTCCCCTTCCTGTTAGCAGTCAACTCAAAATAAAATAATATAAATGTTTACTTAATGAATTATTCATTTGTGAGGTCTTTACAATAGAAAAATTCTTACCAACAGTACAGCTGTCTTCAAGGACCACATCAACATTTCTGTCTCTGTACTCAATTCTGAAGTCCAGCAGCCGAGGTTGCCTTTCTACAATCTGCCTGGATGGCAGTACAGGTCGAAATGCTGAAGAGGAGGAGGGAGCAGGAGCTGGAGCTGAATGACTTGCTGGATCAGATGCAGTTCCTGGTACAGTCTGACCTCCATATTCACTAAAATGTTGACATAAAAGAAGGGTTATCATCAACCAAATCACTCCAGAATATCACTGAGGATCCTCTCCACCCTTGGCTTGTATATTCTTCCTATCAAGTTTACCAGCCCATGTGTGAAGGCCAAACTTAAGCTCTACCTCCTCTAGCATGTCTTTTTCAGAAAGTTCACATTATTCTCCCTCCCATCCTTGCCTTTTTATGTCAACAGTGCCATCAACTAGCATTCATTAGATTTTGCCATCTGTTATGTTGTAAAACATTGTTTTAAACTCTTTTTTTTTTTTTTTTTTTTTTTTTCTTTTTCGTTTTTACCGGTACCGGGGATCGAACTCATGACTGCCTGCTTGCAAGGCAGGCGCTTATGCCACTGAGCTAAATCCCCAGCCCCTGTTTTAAACTCTTAATTTAAAAGTGTCTTCTCCTTCAGTCATTCACACTGAGTCATTATTTGATTCATTAATGTTACTTTCCACGAAGACTATTTTGAAACTTTATTGCCCTTAAACTTTAATTCTACTTATCTCACTCCTGGTCTTAAAGAGAATTTTTTCTGGTTTGCCAATAAAACAAAAGCCACCATGAGGAATTTCCCTTATCTTCTTAAAATCTCATATATATACAAACTCATATACATACTTTCCTTTCCTATGAAATAGAGCAAATACTATTTGTGTATGCAAAATCTAAAGTCATTTCATTATCTTCCCATTAATGATGATCTATCTTTTCCTTTCCGGTATCTTTGACAACTCTTTTGAAATCTTTTGATTAACATTTAAGCATGTTCTAATTTTTGCCTTCTTAACACATAAAAATAAAATCTGGGTTCTGCCTGCCTAATAGTTATCTCATTTGCAAAACTGGAAAAATAATTGTATTTGCACAATGCCTAGTACTTAGTAAGATCTGAAACAGAGTATGTCCAAAGCTTAACTCATTAATGGTTCCTCATCCTGATCCTACTGCATTATTCCTAGTATCAGGAACCCAAGCCACAAATCTATGGTATTATCCTTGATTCCTCCTCTCTACCCCCATATCTAATCAATCCTTTCAATTTTACTTACTAAGTATCTTTTGACTACAACCTCTACCTCTGCCCTCTACAGCTGTCACTCTAATATCCATAAAAGTCAACTCTTATACAAACTAATGAAAAATTTTTTTCATTATACGTAACCAATCTGAATACATTCTGTTGCTTCCTTGCATTCCAGTTATGCCCTTCTTACAGCGAAATTAAAGGTGTAAATGTCTTTGTATCATTTTCTCCCTCCCTCTCTCAATTATTCCTCTCTACTCTTCTGATAAAATGGCCTGTGAAGCCCTGTATGATCAGAATCCAATCTACCCTCCCATCCTGGTCTTTTTTTTTTAAATTTAAAGAAAGACAAAACAAAATAGAAAACAGGCAGAAATAGTACATACTTTCAAAGAACAGAAATAGACAGTAATAAATCACTAGCTGATGTATACATATTGTCCCCCTATAAATAGTTGTTCAAGGTACACAAGTAGAACATATAAATGGGATTTCAACCAGGGAGACTGCACAGTTCTGTTCAACTATCCAACAAAAACTAAGTATTATGGCTACAAACCTACACGCTTAGACATGTACGCTTTTATCTATATCTTCCTTTATGTTGAGACCTAACACAGTATATTAGATTAAAATCCTTCTGAACAACGAGTAACAATATTGCTGGATTTCACATCATAACACTCCAGAATCAGGATTAAGCACTGCAGTGCCACTTTCTTTCTTTCAAAGTTTTTGTTCATTTCATCATGTGTCATCAGATCAGTGCTCATAAACTGTTTATAGGTTCTACGTAAGCTTGAGTCTTAACAGTATTTCTATCCTTTCTATGTTAGAGGGAAAAACATAACAAAACAGGACAGAACTAAACTTTTCCTATAGACATACAAAACTAAAAAGACATATAAATCTGCTGCATAAGGAGTTCCATCCTGGTCACTGTGCTGTTTCTTTTTATCATCAACAGAATTGGCTATATCATCAGATAAAGTATAATTGAGCGTATCAGTACATAACAGAATTAACAGAAATACAACTTTATAGATAGTGTAGAGCTACAAAAACAGGTAGTAATCAAATCAGAATGGATATCATTGTCATTTTCAGTATAGTTATCTGTACTCCTCAACTTGTTCCATCAACCTTACAGGTTTTGAATAAAATCTGTCAATAATAAGCAGCAACCAAACAAGTCAGATTTAACTAAGATCAGTCATGAGATAACAGTATAAGTCATACATGGATCCTAATTGAGTTAATAGGGAATTAAAGATGTCCCCTATGCTATGGACTGCTGTCTGTGCCCCTCAGATCCAATGCTTCTATACAAACTAGGACAGAATGAGTTCCAATCAAGCAGAGTGGTACGAGTCATAGGGGTTTTAATTCCTGATACACTATTAGCTATATCTTCTGCTTTTTATTTATTTATTTATTTATTTTTTTGAGGACTATTCCTCCATTTTACTCCCCCAGAATGCACTGTGTATTTTTGGGTCTCCCCAACACTCACAGTTTTGTATTGGGGGGGGGGGCTGCAATTTACCTAAGTGTTTCTGAACTTTCTCACTCCTGGGCTGGATTTCTAGTTATATTTCTTCATTTATTAAAGCCTGTCTGTTTAACCTATCCATATATACTGGTCTAGTTACCCCTATTACTCTCTGGTTCCCTATCACATCGAGTTCCATTTTTCTCATGTTTGATTTTGGTCCATATAACCTTCTTCAGGCTAATTATATTTCCTATAAAAAGCCTCTTGGTGGACCCTATCTCTTGATCCACTCTGTTTGCTATTCTTTATTTTCTCCCTTAAGTAGTGTATCTAAGTCATCTATATTAGAAATTATATCCAACCTTCTCTGCCCCATTTCTGTTGAGCTCTTTTTCTGTCATTAGTTGTCAGTTTGTCTTCTTCATTTTGCTTTCTGCTCCATTCATTGTGGCTTCTCTGCCATTATTTCTGGAATCTTGGAATTTTCCTTTTTTAGAATATCCTGCAGTATTCTCTGTAGAGTTGAACTGGTGGTTGCAAATTCCCCTAGTTGCTCTTTATCCTGGAAGCACCTTGTTTCTCCATTAATTTCTAGGGACAGCTGTACAGGATATATCAATTTTGGCTGGAGGTTATTGTCTTTCAAAGCTTGAATTATTTCCCCCCACGCTCTTCATGATTTGATGGTTTGTGCCAAGAAGTCTGCTGTAATTCTGATGGGTGTTCCCTTGTAAGTGATCTGTTTCTTGTCTTTGATGGCTTTTAATATTCTGTTCTTTTAATGGATTTCTGGAATTTTGATTATTATATGCCTGGGTGTAGTTCTGTTTGGGTTGTAGGGGTCTTGTATGCCTCATATGTCTGAGTATATTTACCTTTTCTTAAATTAGGGGATTCTCCTGGATTATTTCTGTGAATAGCATCTGTAGTTCATTTGTATGAGTCCCTACTTCTTCCTTTATGTTCTTAATTGTTAAGTTATAGATCCTCTTATCATCTTCTAGCCTTTGTATTTTTGCTATTTGTTTCCTTGTTATTTTTAAGAAGTTTTTCCTTTCATGCTCCCACATTACGAATCTGTCCTCCAGTTCAGATAATCTATCCTTAGTTTCTTTCAAGCTGTTATGCTAGCTTTCAATAGAGTTTTTAGTTTCCTGGTAATATCTCTTTGAACCTGCTTCATGTATTCTATGTTTTCTCTATTTTCTCCATCAAACAATTCTCCCCTTTTTTTCTGTTCTTCCATTCTACCAACTGTTTTTTCTTGGGGGGTGCTTAGCATTTCCTTAATTATTCTACTTATATCTTGTCTTACTTCGTTAACTACTTCACTTTTGAACTCATCTATGAGGCTCCGGAGATATCACTTTATGTCTATTGGTGCCGTGCCTGATACTGCATGTTTTCTGTCCTCATTCTCCTTTGCATTTACCTTTCCTGGATCAGTGTTCTCAGGATTGGGGACTGAGGACCTTTTCTTGTTGCCTCCTCTTCTCATATTTTTTGTTCCTTCCATACAGGCGTATATAGGAGGCCCAGTTTCTTTCTTTGTGGGTTACAGTTTGTTTGAATTGTGCTGGCTAGGTGTTCCTGCCCATTGCAGTGTACTACAGAGACACAGACCTGGGCAGCCTCTGCTGGGCCCGCACATAAAGAGTGATTCAGTTGCAACATCATTTTCCATGTATCTTCCATCACTACCAGGACTCAAGACCAGATCTAAAACATCTATTCTCCCCAGAATTTAAGGAAAAACAATGGATAAGAAGCCTAATAGGAACAATAATAACCAATCCATGCCCAAGTCAAGCACTGTTCATACAAGTAAGCTGGCGAAAGTCTTTTAAAGTATACTACAACTTAAAATTTAATAAAAACAGTCTATGTTAGTAAAGAAAACACTGTCTTACTGTTGTTCTACTCCAAATATATAATTCTATAAAGTCTATTCTGAGGTGGTGAGGCTGACAATCTACAAAACTTTATTTTCCCTTACTAGATGATTTCTCATTAGGTTCTGCTGATAGGAGATATAACACAGAGATTCATAGGGATTAGCAGGAGGGTAGGTAAGACTTCCTTCTTCCTGTTTGCACACATATCCATCAGTATCACCTGTAGGTTCCAGCCCTCTCCCTACTTTTTTCATCTTTTTCTTGTTCTTCTTTTCTTATAGTCACCTTCTTGATACTCCCTCAGATAACAGCTGGACGATGTGTATTCACATGACTGATCCCTAGCTTCATAGTTTTCCTCTCAGCTTCATAGTTCTATTAATACCACTGCTTTCTAAACTTAATACTGGTGACTTCTTACAGCAACTGTTACAGCTAGGGTTCCTCAGTTTTACCTTTTTGATTGTATAACCAATCTTACATTAAATTTCCTCTATTGGAATACCTAGAGTGGCTTCACTTTCCTGACTGCATCCTAACCTACTGAAAAGATTTCAGGAAACAT